CCCCGAAACCAGGGGCGGACTACCCATCTTGCAGGAGCGAGATTACACTAATCAAAGCTCTTCAGTTTAGAATCTATGTGTGATAAATGAGTGGCGATTCAATAATTTCCACATATTTTGTTTTTAGTCAAATTTGCCTACAAGGCCATGTATAGTTTTCCATCTTGCTTTCAACAAAAGGACTTTATTGCACCAAAGATGAGTCACATCCTGTACTTTTAACCCTTTCTCAGAATCTTGGTAACTGCTTCTACCTGACCCATTGTCCCCAAAAACTTGCTTTTAACCTTGAGTGTAACCATCCTTGTGTATATGCATTTACTATCTTTGTTAACTACTGCTTAAACTTTTACAAATATTTTGTTAATTAACTTTTGGACTGTTTTAATCAAACTGCAAGGTTTTTCTTACGTCGTACTCTTTTTATCCTTGGCAGTGACTTTTGCGAGAGTACGACTCCTTTTGGCTTTGTTTGTTTTGTTTATATTAATGTACATCAACTAAATCTCCGGGTTTTCACAATCATAATAATTACGATCATTATTAAACAAACTTCTCACAATTTCAGTGTTTTATTTAAAATTCCTTCCCTACTGTGCTTCAGGTCAAAGCGTTGTCTACAACTAACGTAAGGGGGCCCTGCCTTCGATGTTTTATCACGTGCCACTTTTCAAATTTAAGCGGGTACTTGTTTAGTTTTAGAGGGAATAGTCATTCGGGTGGCCATTTTTTAAAACGTTGCCGGGTTTATTTTATTTCCGTGTTCTTGTAGTGTGAAGTTAGCGTAGAACCTGGGGGTTAAGTACACTACAATATCTCAGTTATTTTCAGATTTTTCAAAAATTTCAAATGTGTTTTTTTAGTTCACACGAGAGTTCACACCTCGGTTCACACTCTTCAAATGCTTAATTTTCAAATTAAATATGTATTGAATTCCTTTCAATTCTGTTGTTCTTCTGAATTAGTTCAATTCTATTTGAATTCTTCCGCTATACTATGCGATCAAAAATGAGTTGCTGTCGAGTTACCTTTGGAATTTTTGTTTACATGGGAAATCGCCGAGGAAATCGCACTTGACTTTAACTTCCAAAGGCGACTCGACAGCAACTCATTTTTGATCGCCCGTTATGCTTAGTTGGGCTCGTTCACAGTTTTCTTCAGAAATTCTTCTAAAATTGATCAAGGTCTTCCAATTCGATTACCAATCCTTCAAAATCTGCCATTTCTTCTTCTTTTTCCAATTCTTAGTGGTTTCAGATCCTTTTCGACTACTTTAGAATGCTTCTCATTTTTTCACTTAAGTAATCGGATTTTTTTAATCCTTCAATGTCATGAGATCCCGCTTGAGATTCTTAAGAGTTTCTTTTTCTACTGAAATTCTTTGATTTTTTAGATTTTAGAAATTCAGATTTCTCTTTAATTGTTATATTTCGAGTTATATTTGTACCTCGATTTGTACTAATATTTTTAATTTGCTTTGTATTGACTAATGTATGTAGGCTGTTGTACGAAATATTAAGTAAACTTTATTAAATAAACTATTTGGGATTACTTAATTGTAATAATAATTAAATAAAATAATAATAATTAATAAAAATTGGATAATTTTTTAGCTTCCTAGCATGTGCTAGGTAGCTACCTATTGCGATAGCCGTTTTTTGAACATTTCAAAATTTCATCAAATGTCGACGTTTTAGACCATTTTAAGCAACTTTTAAAGAATAAAATTTTTTTCCGTCTGTATGTACGTACGTACGTACGTACGTTTGTTGGCAATTTTCTGAGAAAACGGCTCGACGGATTTTGTTGAAATTTTGTATATATGTTTAGGCATACCGAACAGAAAAATAACGGGCCGAATTTTTGAAAAAAAATTTTGGAGCGCCGTAACGGCATCGAACTTTTTTTTTCAAATAGCAACCTAAAATTTTTATTCTATTATTTGGAAGACCTTATTTTCCTGTGTACAACCTACAAAAAATTGGGCCGGGTTATATTATCAAAAAACGGAGAAAAAAATTGTCAAAGTCAAAAAATTGTGTTGCATATGTGCAAAACGCAACGATCTTGTTTCTGAAGCAATTTAAACGAAATTTCTATGGTAAGTCCCTTTAATAAAAGCAAACAAAATTCATGCGCAAAAATCGTGTTGCGCATGCGCAGAAATGCAATTTTCTTATTTATGGAACAATTAAAACGAAATTTGGATGGTAGGTCCTCCTAATAAAAGAAAACAAAATGCATGCGCAAAAATCGTGTTGCGCATGCGCAGAAATGCAACTTTCTTATTTATGGAACAATTTTAACGAAATTTAGATGGTAGGTCCTTTTAATAAAAGCTAACAAAATGCATGCGCAAAAAATAGTGTTGCGCATGTGCAACATCCAACTTTCTTATTTATGGAGCAATTTTAACGAAATTTGGATGGTAGGTCCCTCTAATAAAAGCAAACAAAATGCATGCGTGCATACAATTCCACGAATTGACGGTTTTTTCTTCATAGCATGAGCTAGGTACAATGCGAAATTTCATCAAATGTTGACGTTTTAGATCATTTTAAGCAACTTTTAAAGAATAAATTTTTCCCGTCTGTAAGTGCGTACATATGTTGGCAATTTGGTTTCAGCTAGGAAGCTATTCTGTCAAGAATTTGACACCTGGTTTTATTTTTCAGATTCATTATTTATGCACTACCGAGTGCACCTACAGTCTCCATATAAAAAAAAGAAGTAAGAATTCTAATATGGGGTTTTTATCATTCTTGTTAGAACGAACATATGCAGTTCAAGTTTTATGGGTTGATAAATATTCCTTAAACCTCAAGCAACTATACAGTCAAAAAAATTGTTTTGCGCATGCGCAACCCCACTTTTTTATTTGCATAATCCTGTTTTAGTGTTTTTATATTTGTTAAGATATTTAAATCAAATGTTGTATAGACGCCTCAAATGAAAAAAACTAAAACCAATGCAGATTGCTATGCGCAATCCAATTTTTTTAATTTTTTAGTATCAAGATATTTAAATGGAAGTGTGTACCTCGGTTTGTACATATTTACTTAGATAGGCACCTCGAATAAAAATGCCGATCCAGCAAATTTGGCTTTTTGCGAGGCTTTTTGATTTTGTTATATTTGATACAAAGAAAGATGTAAATAATCATTTGACAATTGGAACAAAGCAAGGACCAAAAAGTACTATAAAATATCAGATCATGTTCATGTATTGCTGAAATGACCCATACATTGGACGCTGCACATTTTAAATTTTTCATTTCAAGTACCTATGTTTGGTGTCAAAGATTTGTTGTCCGATTCTATGTAAACGTCCTACCGAGCGTCCTACTATTTCGTACCCCTCTGCAATTTTGGGACAGATTATAATTTATCCTGGGCCATATATTTAATTGGGAGAAAAACCTCAATGCCGAAGTTTTTCATTTAAACACTGAAATTTTCACAGATGAGTCAAATTAATTGCATATTGCAGAGCTATTAAAATAACTGTAGGTAACTGTTATAATAAAGCAAAGTTAATTTTTCAATTCAAATCAAATAAGTTCCTTTTTGGGAAATGCACCAACTTCTATTAAGTAATTCTAGGAATTGTCTTTTGATGAACCACAACCTACATCGCATTTTAAAATGATAATTTCTTTAGGTCATTGTACCTACCTATCATGAACAATTCTAGGTAAAATTATTACTTGCTTCATTCCCTTCTGGTTACCGAACGACCACCAACATAAATCACGCGCAGTTTTCCATTCAATGAGCCTCGACTGTGGTTACTCACAGGTTATGACGAACAACCAAGTGGCCTTCGCGAAACCCTCCGCTGCAAATTGAGCGGGCGGGTGGGTTTTTGGAGGTTCGTTGAAACTAATAAGTTGTGAAGGGTCAAGTGGTGGTCAGAGGTTAAGAACGTGAATTGATGACGTCACCGTGCATAACTCAATTAAATAGATGACTACCGTACATTGACCACCGCTCGTGTAGGACTCGTTTTCTTTATCTATAGACAAAAGTAAGTACGTAAACAAGGCACGGGTTTAATGTAACGATAAGATAAATTTACCTACCACTGCTTTTAGCCAGTTTCAATTTGCAAAAGTATCTTCTGCTCTATAAATACCTTCCTTTCATTCATAAATAAGGCGTGGTAGAGCACCACATACCGGATATATATACAGGTGGAATCTGAATCCGTTAAAACACCCCGAGTTTGAAGACCACAGGTAGGGAGATTCGTTTTGTATTGTCAACAGTAACTTTCTTGGAATTTCTTAACAATGTCAACTGCATACTAATTCCGCCAATTACTATTGAAAAGTAGAAATGCTGTGAGGAGAATTTTAATAGGAAACATCGGAATACCTAAAAGGACACATCTTTTTATAAGTGTGCTACGACATACAAATGCCAGGAAACCTCGATCTTGACCCCCAAAGTGGTCTTTTAACTATTTATCGGGCGTTCTCTCAAACGGTTAAAATACAGTAACATTGAATGCTGCTAAAATCAGTTCAGAAAAATCTGTACGTTCCCGCAAATACCGCGTGTTCATTACTCCTATGTAAACCTGACTTTTACCTGTCTTGCTTGAACTTTTTAACTGTTCTAAACTTCCGCCAAAGGCATTTGTCATGATACCAAAAACACGTACTGACGTGATGGGTGACGGAGTGCAAGTTTTTCAATTGTGCAACATGAATTTCTTTTTAAAAAAAAAGGTAAAAACTTACCTGTTTACAAAACAATTCCAAAAGTTGCAAACACAGCGAAACACATTTGTAAAAGGCACTAAGTTACTTGTTAATCACTTAACATTTAACTGTAATCCTACATGTTGCACTTTGAAGAAGTTTCACGCACTTTTTAAACTTTAAAAACAACGCAATTCGCACTAAGAAAAGGTGTGCCACAGCACAAAACGCGTCCTCGACAACTCTAGCTAAATCAAGGTAACCAAACAGCCAATAATTTCAATTATACGCATGCGTGTGTACTGATATTCCCCTCTACTGTGTATATTTTTAATTGTTTTATTTAAAACCAATGTGTTGTAAACAGTTTCAGGGTGCTACTGATAACTTATAAAATAATTGATAAAATAGTGGATACTGAGAGTACTGTGCAAGTGTAACACCTAGAAATAAGACAGGAATCTCCACATGTATTTTGCAAATTAAGCGTGATGGGATCTCCCTTCTCTTCGTCTACGCCACTTTATGGTGATTTAACAGGCCTTCCACTTGGCGACAGAGTTGTAAAGGTAAATCCAGTAGGTAATCCAAACAAAATTGTATAGTCAACATAACCTAACTTTTAGCTTGAGGAAGAAAAATTGACACTACTGGATCACATCAAAAAACTCGAAAACGACATAGCCAAACTATGCAAAGAGCTAACGCTTATGAAAGAGAACGAATGCATTTTGAAGAAGAACATTTCCGAACTCTTCAATACCGCTAAAGTAGAAAACGAACGCAATCTAAGACGAATCGATGAATTACAAGATGAACTGGACAACTTTCGGTTTAGACGAGGCACACAATCGATGCCAGAGAGAAAACGTTCAAGAGAGCAGGAGCAGGTCGAAACCAAACGAGCGAGACCGGATAGATCGCCCGACCGAAGTCGATGCAGGGATTATAAACCTTTGCGATCGATTGACCGTCATCACGATAGATTTCGGACGGAACGCGAAAGGAGTAACAGTGCAGATCGGCGGAGAAGTCGAGAACGCGATCATTACAGGCATCAAGCTGCGCAGAGACCTGGTCGGAATAGAGAGAATGACAGATTGGGTAGAAATGTGAAAGTGGATAGGTGCCAAAGTGATAATTTGAAAATTGAAATAAGAAATGAAAGAGCCTCGTACGGCAAGGAAGAGGATGAGAGAACGTATAGATCAGAAGACGCTCATGTAGCAAGTTCTGAACATAAGATGAAAGATGAACTTCCAATTGAAGTTAGTTTAAATTCAAGTGCAAGCAAACGAAGACGATGTGTAATAAAAATGATTAATTGACCTTATGCACATTTTAAACTAATTTTGTACTGTTTTAAAGTTGAAATCCTGTCACCTAGGTATATTTTGTATAGCCTGTACTCGATACTGTTATTTGTTAAACTCATAGAAAATGTTGTTGTGTTTGTTTTAGTACTCTGGTCAAGGAATAAGTTACTCTTTGCTCTGGTGCAGATTGTAAAGTTCTTATTTTTATTGTATTAAGCAGTTCAATTTGATCTGTTGTTTGCCTCACAGTGACACAGTATATCCAGAAGAGTTTCTTCTGCTACCGCTGCAAAATATCTCTACCTGGGGGCCCATACCATTGAGATGTCTTTTCATTCAAGTGGCCCTTTAAGAAAAACCTGTCAAAAGATAAGCTCCAAGGTAAATTCTGAGACAAAATGAATAAAAACCCTATTACACTTAATGTGATCAGATATAAATATACGAGGTTGCAAAAAAAATGAGAGAAGAATTATTTTAATTTATCAATAATTGTTCAAAATGCCACCATTTGCTAAACATAGTTCTGCCACAGATTCAAGTGGTTCTGCACCTGGACATGTTGAAAAGTATTTGTCTGATGTCAAGAGTGTAAAAGAGTTTTCTGTTCAGTTTTGAGTCTGATTTAAGCCCCCATTGTCCGTAGGCGCGAACTTCGTAACACCCTGTATATAACGGGAGTCTCAAAATGCACGCAAGATTCAAATTTCGCGCCATTTGTGCAACTACTCGTTTTTTAGCAAGTTTTATTTAAAAAATGAAGGTTCATCAACTATGATCAAGTAAGATCCCAGAGACATTAGACATACATTACTTATATTTTTATTAAATGGATTAAAAAAACCCTGAAAAAACCTTAGGTTCTGAGTAGTGCTTCATGTTCAATGGTTATGGTTTTATGAACTTAAAACGCTTGAACACTTACAGAGTTAGGGCTGTGACCATAAGTACCAGGTGAAAAAGGTGAGTAAGAATAAGATTTTTTGTATTGTATATATTTTGTAAAATTCACCTCTAAAGTAGTATCGTTGATTATACAGTGTGTACCCATAATCAATTGTAGTATCCAGTATTGCCAGGCACTTTCTGCTGTCCAAAACTTCTTACAGGTTGGAAAAAAACTTACTTTATATTTGAATACTTCATTTTTATATATTTTTATTAGACTAATAAGTATTACAAGTAGGTATACAGATGACTTTATTTTAGTCGTAGTCCTAGGATTTGAAGGGTGTCTAGAGTCGTCGCTGTGGTGGATGTGGACATCGCCTTATTGTTATTATGTCCAGACAAGTCAACCGCGGGGCCTGCCTATTGTTGTAATATTTTTTTTTCGGCTTGTTACCACTCCTCCAAATCCCCGTAAATTAGTAGTGTGGGCCGAAAAAACACAATTTTTTTATTTGGAAGTTGTAATAGCGCAGAAAATATGTGAATTACCTATATAAATACTTGACAAAACAAGAAAAATTTTTTTTCTATTTCGGTGTCACAATGATGATTTTGTACAACTGTTTTCGGCCGAAAAGACAGTGATTATAGTCGTTTTTTTTGGTAACTCATCTCTTAAGTTGGCAGTTACTAGTTAGTACAAGTAGGTACTTCGTTGGGTACTTCCATGTTTGAACTTCAAAATCAGTCTTACTCATATATATTATATATGGTCTTACTACGCTGCCAACCTAAAACTTAACGGCATAAAAAGTGTTCCCAACATAAAACATGTTAGTTCTAATGTTCCCTATAATTTCTGATAATGATTTTTTTAAATTAAATTAAAGCACCGAAATAGAAAAAAATAGTATGAAAAACGCGTGTTACAATGCTTTATTGTAATACTCCTATCTTGCGGACACTCGTGGCTACGCTTCGCGTCGCCACTCGTGCCACAAGATAGTCGTATTACAATAGGTCGCATTGTAACACTTGTCTTTCAATATACTATTTCAAAATCGGTTAACATCTTCCGGTCGCGCAATAGGCTCTGACAAAGCTAATTTTTGTGATAATTTTTTAATTTGAGTTTTTTATAATGTACCTAATAGAAAATGCTGGGTACTCTTTGCTAATGGTTAATATAGTTTAAAAACATTGTGTTTTAATTTGGTTTAGATGAGTTAATATCTTGCGGTCGCGCATAGGGCCTAAAATTTGACAAAATTTACATTTTTCTGTTTTGTTTTTTTACTTATACTTTTTTAACGTGATAGTTCCAGTTCCGGCCACAAATATGAAAGATAGCGTTGCACATGTGCAATCCATTTTTGACGTGCTACTTCAATTTCAGTTTATAAGAAGAGTTTCATTTCAATGCTTTTTTAAATAAGAAAGTTGGAACTGCGCATGCGCAAACTTAAATTTGGAAGCTAACGTTAGATTTTCCTTTGTTCCAAGTGGCTATGTATCGAATTTCATTTAAATCCCTCCATAAATAAGAAAGTTGGCACTGCGCATGCGCAAAACCAAATTTTGAAACTGGCGTTAAATTTGCTTTTATTCCAAGTGGCTATGTATCAAATTTCATTTAAATACTTTTATAATTAAAAAAGTTTGCAATTCGGTTTATAAATGGTCGAGATGCGAAAAGGGCACTGTGAATTTTGAATCGATTCGACTCAACTTTTGGCATTGCGTATTATATGGCTAAAGCTATGCCCATATTGAATTTCATGCAATTCAGTTCATAACTAACGGAGATGTCAAAGCGATCGGACATTTCTAAACAAAGTTATCGTTCACACGGACAGATAGAGGGACAGACAGACAAAGGAACAGACGGACAGACCAACAGGCAGACGACAGACAGCAATGCAAAATTATAAACGATCTCTAGGATCGTTAATAAACGGCAAAAGTGTAAAATTATGGAACATGTAAAAAACGGTTTTTTGTTTTTTTTTACAATAACTTTTTTTGTAAGCGGTATAGAAAAAATTCCTTCCTTGGTGCAAGACTCGACACCATAACGAACCAAATAGCGAAAAAAGTAGAACAATAGCTCTTAGATAAAAAAACTAGTAGCGTCTCAAAACGAGCGGACGGACGGACGGACAAAGTGGCCACAATAGCGCATTTTTTTTTTATTTTGAAATGCGCTAAAAAGCGGAAAATCTATTGTCATATGTGTCCGGTCCATGACCTTCAACTTTCCGGCGGTAACCGCCCTTCCAAGTTTGGAGAGGTTTTTAACTTTGAAGAATCGAATTCGCTACGCCCCTTTCCAAGGTACTTCTCGGTATAGCCGCCCGTCTATCTACTGTAACTTTGGTCTGTGCCTGCACTCCATTGAGGTGGTTGCCACCACTTCCTTTTCTAGTTTGATTGCGTTGAGGATACAGCAGGTCCTTCGCCGTCCTGACTTTACTTCGATAAACATAACCTGATCAATTAGGCCCTGCCAGAGTTGTTGAAGTGCGAACAACAGGCAACAGTATTAAATAACGGTTGACCTTTCTCAGTCATTTTAAATATTTTATAGTTTGTGGCTGCAGTGCTAATAGAGGAACAGATTAAGAAGCGCAATTTGTTTTTCAATTCAGGGAATAAGTAACTTCTCTTCTCTTTCTCTTTTTTTCTGAAAAATGAGGCCTATTTTTGGAAATTGTGCTATTGCCACGTTACTATTTGAGATAGGTCAAAACGGCTAAGCGCAATCGAAGTTTTCTAGAAAAGTAGATCAAGAATGTGAAAATCGTTTCCTATGATTTCCATAAATTGTTTCCTATCAATGCATTAAAATTGAGACATGGCCTGTACCTGCACTCAGATTTGTTGTAGTACCACATGGTCACATATCTGGAAAAAAACTCTCAACCTATGCTTTTTGTTTATAGGCAAGCAAATATTCCGCCTGACACCTAGCTGCCACAGTCAACAACTGTAGTTGTTGGTAGTGCCGCCTGAACTTTGTGAGTCATGTTTTATGCTCTTTGAGGTTTCTTATCCTGTCCAAGTTCACAATAACATGTGCTTGTGCCAATGTAAGTCCGATATCATACGTACCTTATAAAAATAATTGCACAGTTGCGCCTTTGCACAAAATACTATGTTAAGATCTCAGATAAATACAGCCCCCATAAAATTAACACAGATCCAATATGCTCATTGTGTAATATCAAAGAGTTTACCACTTGTTTTTCACATGCCTATTTTAAAAGTCTCGGCAAGAATCACAGACCTGGTATAAATTCCTTTGGGGATCAAGCTGTAGGTTCAAACTGCTCTGTTCCATCTGCAATCTGTCAGTCTTAGGAAGCTCACTACAAGGTACACAGTGGAGAGTGGTAGTTTTGCACCATGGGCAGGAACTATTACTAAGCTCAGTCTATATCTTTGTCAATAAGTCGTTTGAATATGGAGCAGCAAAATTAACCTTTGAGCCATGTGTAGTGAACACGTGGATTCTTATAATTGTATTGTACTATGGAAAAACATGAGCCCCAGTCCAATGTAAGTCTGGGTCTGATGTCGTTCTTCACTAAATGACTCGGTTTTTTTTGTTATTTCTGATATATCATCTAATAATTCACGTACCTAGCTGTTTAAACAAGATAACAAAGCCTATTCTTGGTGAAATAAATGATATCAACAAAACACTAATTATTAAATAATTTTTATTAAAGAGCACACAACAGCTGAAACTCACAAATATAGTATTTATGACTTTCAAACAAGAATCGAGCAAATACATCTCCTTCAAAAATAATACTACGAATCATTAACAGGAACTAAAACTTTAAACTCGATTCCAAAGTTTTAACAAACCCACTGTAGTCATTGAATATGAGATGTCTAACAACAATCATGCGAGTAATATCTGTACAAACTTATAACAACAGCGATCAATTTTTACTGGTGATTATTTAACAAGGTGTACTAAACTGATGTTTTTGTCGCACTATACTTACATACATTTTTTCGTATGTACGGTACAAAAAAATTAAATGCTTATAAAAAAATACTGAAGGTAATACATAATAAGTTTTACCTTGGACCGCTGAGGTCACGTTATCAAATTATTTTTCAGAGCTTGGCTGAGGATTGGCGTTCGCAATAATTATACATATTGGCCGATTTTAACATCAATAATTTATTAATTAAAGATGTAAGTATAGTGTGACAATTTTATTTCATGATAAAAAAAAATTCTTATAAATTAGATCAACTAAGTACAATATTATTTCACTAACATGATGGCATTTGGTGCGATGCATGTTGACTAGCGAAGAAATTACTGGTTGACAATTAATTACCACATGTGAGTTTCTCTAATTTCACTTATAATTTGTGTCGCACGTTGCAGGGCCTAAAATAGTATTGTATATATGTATCAATCATGCCAAAGAGAAATGTGTACCTTCAGCATGTCGGCCGCTTCTTTACGTCTTTGTGCTATATGTTCGGATTCATTCAAAAGTTCATCCGCATTATCTGCTTTGTACAGATGAGTAACCAATTCGGACTGCAAATTATCCTTAACATAATTCACTAAGAAATGCATTACAGCTTTTGGTACAGTATCCTGTATGGATTTACGAACGATATAAAAATATGACTTAATAAGGCGCTCTGAAAGTCACATTTAAAGTTACCCACGAACCGAATTCGTACTTACCGATAATTTCACAATCGTGCTCTTCATTTTCTGAGAGTTTCCTAAATGAATTATTACTAAATGGAACATGCGCTAGTAAGTTGACCGGTTTAACTGGGCTTAAAAGAGATCGGACGTCACCTTCTGCCGATGAAACGCTTTCGGGTAAGCTTTCAACATGATTTTCATTTATAGTTTCCGGTACCGCTCTTTTGTCATGTGACGAATTCCAAGGGACTACATCTTTATCATTATGATGTAGTGATGGTGATCGGTTCTAAAAGGAAGGCACTGCTTACAGATAAGCATCTATGGCGCAATGACATAAAGAGTTTAGTATTAAAAAAATATATTCCAAACATGGTTTGATAAGCTTGAGGTTTATAACCAATAAAGTGATGTGATAATAGTATCGGTTATTTGTTTGTATTAGAAAGAGACAACAGTCAACTTTGTTGTAACACAGACACTCGCGTCTTTAACTATTGTTTTTTTCATAAACCCAATTTTTAACATGCGCGCTAGTTTTTCTTCTAATTCAGTTAAAATTTAATAGAAATAAATAATGTATAAGTGTGCGCGTGTGCAAAATACATTTTTTAGTTAAAATTGTTTCTTGTCATCCACACTCAACGTTAAATATGACCAAGACACTATTTTAAAAATGTGATGTACAACCTTTCTGGAAAGTATATTTTTTACACAACCCTTTAGGTCAATATGCAGAAGTACTAAAACAAGTGAAAAAAGTACTGAATTTATTATGCTATGGTTTAATACCACCCGACTTATGTAACACCAATGTTAGTGAGCAAAATATGACAGGCAAGACATGTTCTACAAGATAAAGTCACACATCACATGGTTATATTCAGTTCAAGTTATAATGCATGTCACACTACACAAATACAAAAGTGGCATAGGAATTTAATTTTGATTAATCATAACTCTCCATGATTCTAATTTTCCATATACTTATTCACAACTAACCAAATAGATTTTTGGTAAAGCTATAATTAAAACTAATCCAAGATTTGGTTTTGTTTTTTTGGCCAATACCGTTTGAAGATGGCTAGCTATACATGGGTTTTTAAAAATCATTACTTACTTCAGAGGAGCTGTCCATTTCAGATACCCTAGGAATTCCCAGTATTCCTAGAAGCAAATCTTACCTTGTTTCTATAAACGGACCCTTTCATTCAACATAGGTACACAATTAATTCCCCATTTCCACAATCTTTTAAAAACATTTGAGCCTATCTACTTTCCCATGGCATTTTAAAACCAAAATACCTCGCAAAATACTCGGTAAAAATTCCTAGTGACAAATTGGCCGCCCGGCAAGCATTAGGCGAATCACCACTTCTGTTTTACTTGCAATAGATACGCAGGTTAAACGAGATCATGCAAGATAAACTATTAAAAAATTAGGTAATTTGACACTGCAAATACCCAGGTACTCGTACTGAACAACCAGCAAAAATGTAAACGGACCACTGACCCCAAGAACCAATAGTCCTTTAATATGTTTATTGCATGCATTATAGCTACTTGGACTGAACACCTACATCTCACTGCTGGACAGACATACGTATTAATGAAAGTAATGAAATCATAATGTACAGTGTTGTGTCCTCTGTGTGAGTACAGGTAAGGTGCATTAAGTAAAAAAACTTCATACAATATAATAACTAACGGTCGATATTTTGCGTTTCAATTAAACTTATGTGTAAAGCTAACTTGGATTGTAAACGGTATGTTATGAGGACAGTATCTCGGTTGAGGGGGATTGTGTAACGAATCACTTATTTTCCACCTTGAAGTTTTAGTGATCACTCTGTAGATGAACACAGGGTATTTAGAAGCGTTTTAAGTTGTGCGCTTCATTATGAAAAGTGTCGTGTCAAAAGTACTGTGTTGGTTCTAGGAGTTGTATATAGAAGGTAAAGGTAATTAATTCCCGGTTTGCAACAGTTCCCGGCAAGATATTTCAATGAACTGAGAAATTCCAAGAGACAATAGGGGTTAATTAGAATAATGAATGTAGAAATATTATCCGCCAAATTGATTAGCGGTAGCTGATTAAATGAGTTGCTGTAAACAGCATTCGATTAAGTCGTGAAAGGTCCCAAAAGAAGCGCTCTTAATTAATTTCAATGTTAAGACCAATTACAGATTTTTAGGATGTCCGCAGGCCGCACAATTAATTAAGGAAGTTTTCATTTTTGGATGTAGATAACCGAATATGCTGTGTGTGCTGGAAAACCGTCGATCCCTCCATGAAATAGCGGGATTTTATCAAAAGTAAAAGAGGGGATTTTTTGCTTTTCGTGTTTTTCTAATGACATTTGTACGTAGGTACCGTTTTATTTTTTGATACTTTCCGTAAATTTATTTTGCATTACGTTTACCGAGTTTTTTTTCTTGCACAGGAATTTCTGCCGCTATGTTTAATTGCAAGGTAAGATTTCTGCTACTTTCTGTTTCATTAATTATAGGGGGGATATGGTTTCGCTTTCCTGCATTTGATTTCCCGTAGCTACCACTAATTAATTTGTGCTTTGTTGCTTGCGTTCCCGTTAGGGCAATTGCCAACGTGTCCATGTGCCGTAATTAGTTTCGCATCCGTTCCGAAACCTTGTCCGCATCCCTTTGTGGCACTCGAGTATACTTTAATTTAATTGATTAAACCGTTTAATTTTAAAAGCTCACTGATTGCGTGCGAACTACCGAAGTTCGTCGCAATAGGGTAGGTCGGGGTGCGCTATTATAAATACATGATACCAGATACCTAAGTGAGGCGAGGAGAGGGGAGGCCGCGTTTGCGTATTAAAATCATTGATGCTTTATGACTTGACTGTTTAATTTTTTGTTTTTTGTAAATTTACTCAGCTTTATGTAAAACAGTTGAGGAATAAATATTATTAATATCCTGATGTAACGAAGCACCCGTTTTGCGGTTTGAGGTTTATCCATTTTAGTGATCACTCTGTAGATGAACGCTCGGTATCTAGAAGAGTTTTAAGTAGGGCAGTACGCAAGGATGCTATATAAGGATTGCTCGATCCCTATACTTGTAGTGTTGCCAGAGTTTGAGTCATATGTGACGTCACCAACGGACCTGGCAGTTATAATTTGCTAAGTTGTCAACGTTTTTGCATTAGCGTTATAACTGTGTGTATGTGTTCGCTATATTGCAACAAAAATGCTTGGACACCGGCGTGCAGTATTGGACTGTAATAACAATTTGGGGTAGTATTCACATTTTACACTCAACTGGCGCTCATTTTAGCCAGTGTCAAGAAGAACGTCGAGAAATCGTTATTTTAAGATGCACAAAGTTGAAATAAACTGATTTAGCTGCAATTTCCATGGATGATGAAGAGTAAAAAAACCAAAAACGCAGGATGAAATGGGTTTACGACATTTTTAGTATGCGAAAAACCGAAGGAGAATTTGTAGACTTGTAGACGATGAACGACAAGTAGTGTTTCTAATTTAAATACCTACCTATATAACATCCATTTGGACGTATTAGAGTCCCCTCCTACCAGGCGTTTTTTTAAGCGGCTGGTAGCGTGACCCCTTCACACTGTGCGATTTGCAGCGCCACAAGTAGCACGAAGCGCTTTTCAGAAGCGCTTTCACGCAACAAAAGCACACGTACCAAGAAGGAGCGTCGTTTTTTTAAAAAATGGTGTCTGGTTTGAGGAGAGTTGATTTACTTGTGCCTTAGTAAAGAGGGTACATATTTGTGTACCTACTGATATTTTGTATAAAAAGGTAAGTTTGTTATTACTGATATGTGAGGGTTGTAGTTCGACCGTTGAAGGAAGGCGAAGCTGTATTAGGTTAAACACTTCATATTGTGTGGTAAAAACCATTGTAGCACGGTGTGGCAAACTCCGAAATTATAACATAAATTGTACAGAAGAGACTTATACTCAGTTCTTACTCATCTGAGATTTCCGCATAACCGTATCTTTTTTTCGAAGAAAATTACTCTGCGTAGCGTTTCAAAAACGCATCGTGAGAAGGAGCTCTTAGAATCTTACATAATATAAAATACAAATGAAAGTGGTGCACAAATCGAAAAATCAAAGCATGCGGTGCGTCTGGGTCCGTCAGTGACGTCACTACACGCGGCGAAAAAATATATAGCATTCTTGGGCAGTACGAAAAGTGTCGCGCCGGACGTATTTGTATTGGTTCTAGTAGTTAGAAGCTAAAGGTAATTGGTTTAAATTCTAGAGTTGTTTCAGTCGCCTCAACCGTAAATAACGCTGTTTGCAATCGTTCCCGTCAAGATATTTCAATTATTTTTGATGCGTCCGAAAGCTCTTGTCAAGACGAGCTAAATGAATATTTTAGAATTTCAGACACGTTAAGCCATTATTAGCAGGTTTTTGTTGGCAAATTAAAACTGCAAGATTATGCAGGTTTACGCCGTTATCAGTTTGATAGCGCCGACCCTGTCGGTTGACCCCAAAATTCCAATTAAGATTGGGCGTTAATTGGGCTACCAATTTTAGAAATTTTAATCCGGCCAATTAAGTGAGTGAAATTAACAGTGGCTAAATAAATGTGTTGGGTTTCAAAGGAAGCGCTCTTTTAGATTTGCATTTTAAGACGACCGCACAATTAATTAAGTAATTTTTGAATGTAGATAGCATAGTCTTAAAATGCGAGACATTTTCACCCCCTATACAATGAATAAATGAGTCTATAGCTTTAAAGCGCTTTAAAATATTGGTCCTTTGAGCCGAATCAAATTTATTGTCACTGTTTTTCGTCTTTTAGAATAATGCAACGACATTTAAAGCAACAGGAGTGAGAAATAGAAGGTCTAATGTTTCGATTTGTAGAGCTGTTTTAACTGCTGATAAGGAAACCAGCTGCTGAACATAATTGTAAAGTTTATAATTGTTCCCGTAGGCCTATATAAATTATTTTTGTAGCATAACTCAAAATTTGGCTAGTTTTTTCTACAAATATAATAATTATGACAAGTATTGCGTACATTTCAATATTTCATTGAATGTACTGGCACTATGAAAGCATTATTATGATTATTATTATTATTATTAAAACCTTCATTTTCTTTACTTTTGATGCTAATTTATGACTACAAGGACCAATGCGACCGCTGAATAAAAAAAATAGTGCAAACTGAATGTTTGGTGAATACGGCTCTGCAGTTTCTGCCCATTGTGAAGTGTAAGTGCGTATTATAACCATTGAAACCACATACTGCGCCCGCAGGCTAATTAACATCACAGGTTTTCAAGTGGATGGTAAAGAGCTTTGGGCGCGCTTCGATCATGTATGTGACTAATTGCTCCTTTAATTCTAATGTAAATTTTGTAATTTTGTCTTGTGTTAAACGACTAAAAATTTCTAAAATGTGAAATACAGGTTACGTGGTTTTCGTAGGGTGGTCGGCGACCTAGAGCCCCTCTGCACGAGCCGCCACTGATCCCGCGTGCGTTGTTGCATTACGATTGTCACTACGAACTTTACTTTCAAAACTTTCCGCCTGACCAGTGGTGCGAATAGAGTTCAATCACGTATTTCTTCCAATAAATTTGTTTAGTGCAAATCTAGAACCCGGTTAAATCGCAATTTCGAACAATCAGGAGAAATGCACCTTTGACTTCAAGTTTACAATAAATGGTGCCGTAGGTCAAGTTCATATTGTGCACATTCTTTTATGGACACTTTGCTATTTGAATATAAAATTTAACGTAAATTTATGGAAAATAGCTCTAAATCTTATGGCAAACTTAAAAATTTTAATTGTAATTCTGTTAACTTTTAGTTTTTACTTAATTTTTCAATAATAAATGATTTGTTCTAAGCTATTTATGTTTTCTTCATACTTAACACGCAAATGATTCTCTATGACGGAAGTAACAGTGTGGGGAAGAAGTTTATTACAGACAGAATGTGGTGGAGAGCTACAAAAATGTGTGTGAACATTGTGGTACGAAAAATCTAGAGAAGTAACTTAAGGTAAAACGTAATCCCAATATGATCGCTTAATAATAGCATCAAAACTAAGTTCCTTTGCTAGAATAAAAAATGTAGCCATGACCATATTTATGAAGTTTTTTTACACCTTATCTGCAATTGGCACACAAAGTTAAAGCGCATTAGAAATTAAGTACGTAAGCAAAATGAAGTAAGAACACTAATTTGCTAAAGGTGGAAAATAACAAACTATATACCTGTACAGCACTGACGAATTCATTGTAACTAGTGCCAGGCAGGATGTGAAAGAGATAATTAAAGAAATCAACTTGATCTTGTACCTGTGCTCTACTTTGCACCGTCTGAAGAAAGATAACCAAAAAAAAACAACTAAAACTTATCTACTTCTAGCAGCAAAATTAGAAATATAAAAGGTATATACAGAGTGTTAACAGGTAAAAAAAATTAGGCGTATAGGGGACCAAACAAACACTTTTGCTGTATACAACCTTAGTCTTGCTCAGAATGATTTCTTATTTGCATTCTTTTTTTAAATATATTTCTGGTTCAGTAGCAAAATTTTGCCATGTCATAATTTTCCTGCATTCCCGGTTATGGATGTGTCATCATGGGAAGGTTTTTGAAACAAAAATTAACAAAGAAATACAAATTTCAACAGTGTGTTCAACTCTCTGTATCTTTGGAAAAATTGATTGCTTTGATCTCCACTACCACTCACTTTTGTTTACCTTACACACCCTGTATATCATACACACATGGCGCTTACATCATTGTGCTCCTTAGGAGAAGACTTAACATACATCGATTTAGGACGTTCTGGACGATTAGTATTGCCAGACTTGATCATCGAGGGCACAACCGCAATTTCCTTATAAAAATCCGGGTGTTTAGTATTTATATAAGCTAATTCGATGGCGACTAGATTTTCCACCATTATATTAGTAGTAGGCAAACGGCGTCGAAGTAAAATGGTCACTACGTCAACAATTCGTTCATACAACTTAGGAAAACGTAACATCTCCTGCTGAACTTCACTTCCGCAATGCTGTAAATAACGACTTCAATCTTCAGACTCAATTAATTTGTTTACCTGTATTATGCGTTGCATTTCTTCGTGTATCAATTCCACACAACGCAAAGATGGTTCTTCCAATCTACGTATTTGCCTCTTTACTAACAACTCGAAAGAAACTTCGGGTACAAAAAGTGCGGGTCGTGGCCCGTTAGCGTTTCTAGAAGAACAAACAGAATTGAATCGTCAATAATGCTAAAAATTCGGGTGCACGTTAATATTGTACCTAATGGCGGTTAAAATATCCATGCGTGTTAATCCAGCCAATGGATGAATAGAGTCTAAAGTTCGTCCGAATGTCTCGTGAAAAATGTAACAGATTCTGGCGCCCCCGCACAACTCCGTGGTTTCTATATTGCGTGCAGTGCCTTCGATTGTCGCACAATACGCGGAAGCAAATTTGGTTATAATTTGTAATAAGGTTTTACTTTTATCGGAAATATCCTCCCCGTATGAATACAGTAAAGATTGAAATTGCGACATCATGAGGTTAACTCTCGTCTGAAATTAGTCATAAGCAAACGGCACGTGGAAGGACAATTGATTTACCTTTAAATCTGGCAGGCAATCCCGAATGTGGTGCATTAGTAGGCGATTTAAAGTTTTTGCCAAGTATGGTGTGCCATTTCTTGTTGCCAAAGTAGGATATTTGCTTTGCAGATAAGATGCTTCATCCTTAAGAGCATCTTTGATAGTTTTGTGATTCATAATATCCTGTTGAGATCGGTTTACGACTCCAATTATCCCCAGTTTTACTGGTATCACACGACCACACAAAATGTCAATCGCGTCAGTACCCGCATCCATGAGATCTAGTTTAGTGACTACAGCTAAAGTTCTTCGACCATCAGGATCAACGTCTTTGGCAATCTTCAAGCTCTCAGATGTAGCCATGTCAGTGTTAGCAGTGACAACTGCTAAAATTATTGAATTTGGATTTGCTATATATTTTAGAACTAATTCCCTAATTTGTTGTTCGATATCCTCTGGCTGATCACCAACGGGAACCTACAAAATGTTATCATAAACTCAAAGTTCTAAAAATAGTGTGAAAATGAAATAATTTAACAATTCTGTATAAGCGGTTATGTGAATACCCATTACACGAAATTTGCCTTACCTACCTTTTTGTTGAATTGACAAAAAAATTATTTTTTTTAGATACTGTAAATTTATTCAGTTTTAATGATAAGAAAAAGAACATTTTGAAATATATGAAAAATAAATTATTAAGTCGGAAGATTGTGCTCTAAGAGATAGAGAAACATCATACCTAACACATTGTTATTGTTAAAATCAAAGTCCAAGGAAACCAAAAATGAAAAATAAAGAAAATTAGTATGTGCAGAGGTGGTTTTTCATAGAGACAGTCGCATTCTCCTGATTTACTTTTGCACATTTCTGTTTTTTCTGCATCTAAAGGAACCAAAAAACGATTCTTCAACAAACATTTTCCACAGTTATTGTTACATCCATGCAATCCTGAACTCTTTTAAACAGGAATGCTATCTAAAGACTACCACCAGATTCCGCAAACATCATTGGAGGTGAAACCTAATAAAATATTGCTGTGTGCAATAGTGTGTAGTCACTACGCCATCGACAAAACAAATCAAAATTGAAACTTAGAATTTTATAATCTCTCCTCGTACACATCCGGCATCTGCTAGCAGAAAAATCCTTATATTGACTTTTTTAATTTGAGACTCGATGGTCTCGATCAACTTCCGAAAATTCCAAACAATTACACCAATTTTGATCAACACCTGAAATAAATCTTGAACACCAATAGAAACAAAATTGACATGAAGACTCTATCTTGGTTGCACAAAGGATTCAAATAAACACACAATTAATTGATAGACAATGACTAAAATTTATTCGGAAACACATGAAACAATTAGAACAAAATCCCTAAAAGAAAGAAAAGCTTATTTTGGACATAAATCACACACGCAAGTGGTCGATAATTAGAAAAATTAAAAAAACAAAAAAATATAATTTTCGAGAATGCGGTGGTTTCATTTATTTTCAATGATATGAAAAAATAATTTTTAGCAAATAATTTTTAACGTAAAATTATTTAATGTTCCACAAAATAAAAAAATTAAGTTTTGAATTAATTGCCTCAATTGAAGACATGTATTTCAAGTCATACCTGACAAAAGAATGATCAAGTATCCCATAGCATAATTAAAAAAAAAATGCGTGCACGGTACACCTATTTGGTTTTGGTACCGGCGGTAAATTACTTATCACTTATACTTCAGTAACATATTTTTTATATATTTGGCGACCTTGTGTCACTTTTTTTGCGAAATTTTGAATACCACAAACAGAACCACTCTTAGTTTCGTTTGTTTCTGAGATACAGGGTGAAAACGAAAAGTTTCACTTTTTGAGATGCTGTATCTTATTACCCATGTAAGATAGAAAAAAATGAAAACTTCATAGTTTAAACATTTTTTCGGAGAATCCAGTGACGTAGTAAAAAAATTTTTTTGGACCATCAAAAAAAATAAATAAAAATAAAATATGTTACCACCAATTGAGTTACAATACAGCACTGACTTTAGGGAATATGAGAAATGGAAGTTTTTGAAAAAATCAAAAAAGTGAGATTCATTCGATGTGTGGATCTTATAAAACTCACTAAGGACCTAGTCAGCATTTTGGTTTACTCAGACTTACTAAGGCATTTTTCCAAAAATAAAATGCGCCATAATGAGCATTCGTCTATGTGAGGGACGAGAAAGCTCGTTTGCGTTTCGTTTGATAGATATAGATCCTTTGTCGGGTCCTCCATTAGTGAATGATCAAATGTTTTTTTTCTAATTTTGTGATACCCAAACATGAGCAAAATGTTTATTCACCAATTTCGTCGAGGGTACAACAAGGGCGCACAAAAGCTAAATTTGGTGGTGCAATGAAACTAATAAAATGGTTCTGTTTTGTGCTCTTTCTGTCTTGGTAAATATTCGATGAGAACCCAGAAAAAAGTGTGACCGTCGTTCGTACATGTGCGTAGACTTTATAACTTGTTTAGACACATATTTTGTTATACACGTTATACATGAACACCCTGTATCGACAAGATCAATGTATTTTACAATAAATAAACAAGGCATTTTCTTTGAATTGTATAATATATTATCAAATTCATTCAGTATAAAGAAAAAATTATCGGTAAACTTTTGTAGGAGACCTTTCATGGCCCTGAAAACCACAATTACTTACAAAGGATATCTGAATGAATCATGTCCAGTTATTAATGTACACATTTTATTGGTAAGGCACCTTGGGTCATATACGACTTATAAACATTTTCATTGCCAGTGATTAAATGTAACACATAATAAAGGATACATTTCAACCACAATTATGCTGAAATAATCTTAACATTGTGGGGGGCTTGTTTGTTGATGATAGTGAAGACTCAAAGTTTTTGTGTGTCCCATTTACATAATAATTTGGAAATTGTTGTGCAAAACACACACCACTATTTTATGTGGCACATACACACAAAAATTAAGAAATTTCTGTAAACCAAGTTGCACCATAAATGGATGAGAAAATTTAAATGGTAGGTAATTAGAAAACGTACTGCAACTTGAACGATCAATTCTATAAAAATGCAGTTATATATAATCTTTATTTAATTAGTTAGTAGTTATTATATTGTTCAAAAGCCACATTATGTTAGTTAAAATGATTTTAAATAAGGTACTACATTAATAATGCACATTAAGAAGCAAACTAACGCAATATTAATTAATTAATATTATACAAACCTTTGTAATGCCCGGTAGATCAACTAATGTGAGGTTAACCACTTTGGTAGAGTAGATTTTTAAATTAATAGGTTCCGGACATACGCCTTTATTTATACCGGCAATACGATCAGTTTCGTTTTCAATTTCTTTGCATATTTCGGTGAAGTTTTTGAATATTTTTCCTTTGGCATGCAGAAAAGTACCCCATTCCTCAATGTCGACTGTAGCTAAGCAAAACGTAGATTGTTAAATCAACTAATACTCGCAGCCAAAATATATTTGACCGGCAAATACCTACCGTCCAAAGCAGATCTATGTTCTTTGTCATCTTTAGGACAATATATGAGTTGCAAGATGAGAGGTCTTCTAGTTACAATCCCAGTACCTCTCGGTAGGAATGATCGTCCGACAATGCTTTCGATTACCGAACTTTTACCGGAGCTCTGTGAAAAGTAGGCAATAAACGATTCGATATTAAGCAGACTATTTCATTTACCTGCGTTCCTAGTACAATAATTTGAGGCAGTTGAATGGCGTCTGACCCTACTGTATTAAAAACGTCTTGCAATTTGTTAATCACAGGAATAAGTGCTTCCATATTTGCACTTTAACACAGTTTGTTGTAATTACTTAAATAAGTTTATTAATTCGGGAATAAATAGAATTAGCAATTACTCCTCGTTTAGATTCTACGGTTATTTTCTTTATTTAAAACCATTACAAATGGTAACCTCAAAGTGAAGTTACCAACTGACAAACATGAAAACGTACTGCTCTGCTTTGCTTTTGATATATAGGGTGTACCATGCAGAGGAACGCCAACATTCTCGCGTAGCATTTTTCGGGGGTAAATGTATAACAACTTGAGTTTTAATCGGACAATTTTTTTTTATACGAAGGTTTTGTTGCAACGGAAAAAACTCGAGATCAAAAGCGCTAAAGCTGTCTCGATTTTATCTTATGCTTTTGATCGAAAGTTTTTTTCCAGGAGGCAACAAAGCCTGAGTGAATTAAAAATAAAATTGTCATGATTGAAAATCAAAATCGATTATTTTAGGGAGATTAATACAAGATAATACATTTCATAAAACACTTTATATTTTACTTACGTAGTCCTCTAAAGCAATACCTTGCTTTTAATTTCTGATAAAAAAAGCTACCTAGGTATAGCTTTTAATAATCTGATTTGTTAGAATTTGAAACAAGCATCACGGTGATTGGTCGAATATTAATATAGACTGTATACATCAGAATAAAATGCGCGTTTGCGGGGTATTCCATCCGTCCGTGTGTGGAACGAGATCTCGGCACTCAGAAGTCGTAGCAAGCTTGTTGATGCCTCCTTCGATAAATATAGGCAGCAAAAAAAGGTAGCTTTTAATCTCACTTTGGCCGGGTGGCTGGCTGACAGAGTAAATGCGGGCCCGTAGAAGAACGCCTACCGTGGCCGTGTAATTAACATCCTTAGGGAGGCGGCTACATTATGTGGGGTCGGCCACCCCTGGACGCTATCTCCGAGTGTGTTATACTAACCTGGAAATTTTTCAGTTTTTTTCTATCTTCTTCTATAGTTTTGGTCCGATTGTTTTCAAATTGGTGTCGTTTAAAAGGTCTTGTAAATGCGCATTACTTCTGCGTACTTAGCGGAATTTTGTTTTTTTTCCTAGGTGCGAAATTAACCACCTTTTGCAAGGCGCGAGTCTTCGAGGGGTATTCGAATTTGGGCGCCCAAAAGTTTCTTAGAGCTCTAATAGCGGTCCGTCTTTCCCGGATCACCAATAGTAACTCGAGCTATGAGAAGTACTCACAAATTGAGTATTATTTTGTGCGTAATCCACCAAATTGCGAATTGCGAACTTCAAACGCGAATTGTGGGTGAACAGCAGTCGGGACGTCGGACGTGGGTACCGACAAAGGGAATATGGTAACCCCCGACGAGATCTTACTGATGGTGGAGTCAAACAAACGCGAATTGCTGGTGAACGGGACGTCGGAAGTGGGTACCGAAAATGGGAATATATGATAGCCCCCGACAAGATCTTACTGATGGTAGAGTCAAAACTTCAAACCCGAATTGCGGGACGCACAGGACATCGGGGATGGGTACCGACAAAGGGAATCTGGTAACCCCGGACAAAATCTTACTGATGATGAGGTCAAAACTTCAAACGCGAATTGCGTATGAACGGGACGTCGGAAGTGGGTACACACAAAGAGAATGTGGTTGCCTCCGACATGGTCTTACTGTTTTTTTAATAAGGTTCCTCGAAATGGGGTTGAATGGAATTGTAGTAATGCAATTCTAAACTTTTCCCATATAATTGGATATTTATATATATATATATTTAGAGTTTCATAATTATATGGGGAAGGTTTAGAGTTTCATTACTACAATGAACTTAATGATGCGGTGGAGTCAAAACCTAAAATTCGATTTGCGCGTGAACGGGACGTCGAAACTGGGTGCCGACAAAAGGAATGTGGTAGCCCCCGATAAAGATCTTACTGCTAGTGGAGTCAAAACTTCAAAGGCGTATGACGGGCGAACGAGACGTCGGAAGTGGGTACCGACAAAGGGATGTGTCAGATACGAAGGAGTGTATATTGTATAGATGCGCAGTATTCATTGCAAAGTTAATTGTAATCTCGAGTACATCTCTGCATGGAATTGGATTCGGGGTGGTAAACTGGAATTATTGCCTGTTTAAAATATTTCAAGAACCTGTTGCATTACCTACCATGATTGCTTACGATTTTTCAGTGGAGTGCCTCTGGGTGGCGGCCCAAAAAGACCCATTGCAACACCTCAAATTTTTAGGAAAACGGGGAGAGAGATTGGCACAATCTAGCTAGTTTTTTTTTGTTGGTAGGCACTTACCTCTGGCGTTATATGCACTTGTTAACATACTGAGCGATGTATCAAAAATAGATTTGCATAAGACTTAAACTTACAAGTTGTTTCACAATAGTGGGTGCTTTCGTTTCGAGGATAGCAGACACCTTTCCAGCGTTGGGACGGATATCACGCGGTGTTATCACGGATTTTGGACAGAACACGTTCTTCTTTCTGTTTAACTTCAATTTGTACACACTTCGTTGGTCGAAGACCTTCCTGAGATCTTCCAAATCATGTTCGACAATCGCCGATGTACAGGGTGTTCATTAACTTCGCCCACTACGGATTTATCGAAAATCAGTGATTAAACAACTTTTTAACCAAAAACTACTTCACCTCCTTTCACCCTCTGTTCTTCACATGACTTTTAGGGTGTTTTTTCAACAAGACGGCAAACTCTTGTTGGAATTGTTTCTTTTAGGGTTTCGAGATTTTACGAGGACTTGCGCGACATGAGTGTCGTTGGTAAAGAAGATAATATAATAAAATATGTGTTCAGCATACGGGGTACGTCTCCTGCTGGGACCAAATACAGTTTCATGTGGTTAAGAGTTTTTTCAATATCTCGCATTTCTTTCTTTTTCTTCGTCGTCTCTTAGCTGATTTTCTGATTTCTTACACTGGATAAAATTTATTCACGACAAAAGTAGGTATCTCGATGGTCAATTTCATTGTCGATAAAGAAATCATACACAGCATTTGGATAGTCGCTAAAATGGTAAATATTTGTTGCCAGATCTTTCGCCATCGAGAATAAAATCGATTCCAAGTAATGTTTGACTATTTATGTTTTGGGGTAGCATAAGCATAGCAGATGCTTTCTCCTTTTAAAATATCTGACGTTACAGGTAACTGGATATTGTTCGCTGTATGGTACCCTATAATTACTTATTCAATGATGGTACCCTATCGCTCGCGATCGGCGTTTGTTTCATCTCCCACTTACTGTACAAGAATCTGGCAGTCTTCGTCGAAACGTGTTTAAATACCTTATCCCGACAAGTGAGACAGTTCCTTTTCACCTACCCGAAAGCACCACAACCATAACATTTAGGTGAAACCCTGTTTCGCGACTCTCCTTTGGCAATTTTAGTTCGTACCCACATCCGCGAGGGGTATGACATTTCATAAGCATGTAGATACCAAACGGCTGTTAATAATTGCATGGTGACCTATACATACTTACGTGAAATACAAAGAATTAGGATGGCAGAGCGGTGAATAGTACCTACTTCCATCCAGCCAGATCTATGAACACATTTTTCTGCAAATTTTACTTCTATTTATGTGATGTTAATGTGAGTTAAATTTTGACCCTAGCACAATAAATTGCGTTGATTTCTTGATAAGTAAAAACCGAATAAATAGGTACAACACTTTTTTAAATTTCAGTCTTATTTAAAGAAATATTATGTAACATAAATAATATCTATAGATAACTAATAATAAGACAGTTACAATTAACTCAACAGAGATAAGAAGTTACAAGACATGAAAACTGTACAAGTATTTGTACAACATAATTTCCTAAATTGTACACATATCCTACAAAGAGCAACTGCTACCCTTTGGTAAGTCCAGTTGTGTACTAAGTAAAATTGGAAGTACAGACATTTTGCGTAATAATATTCCAATTTTCTTATAATTACACTGATACGACAGAACTATCATAGATATATCACAATAGGAATTTATGATTATAAAACATTGGCATATTAGGCCAAAAACTTACGGTAGGGAGATAGGCAAATAAATATTGTACAAGTCATACAAGAAACTAAAATGCCATAGATTAAAACACAAAAGTGATAAAAGGATAGATTTTATACACAATGATAGTAATAGGTACATATAATTAGAAACATATTTATGTACATTCATTTGTTGTTAAGAAATTGTTGCATTATATAATGTAGGTACCTCTTAAAAAACGCTTCTCTGTTATAACCACTGTCATTATTCATAAAGGAGGTATGCGAGTCTAAATTTGAAGAACAGTCATATTTCACAGTCATGGTATTTTTTTCAATATGATTGATTCAAGCTGTGCAACAATTACATTATTTGGTCGTGGTATTGAGAGATTTTTGGCCCGTAGATGACCATTTAGCCTAGAGAATTGGGGGTAAAAAGGTTCCCGAATCATTTAGATTCGCATCTACAGATCTATTATCATTTATTCTAGTATCTATTTTGGCCTTTAGTTTATCACTTGATTTAGTTATGACACACCTATGGTGCGATCGATAATTTGAGTACCCATCCGCTGAGGCGCCACTACTCGAGTGGCTGTCGTGGCCAACGCTTGCTTCTGACTGGCTGTGTCTTAAGTCATTGTTGCCCGATTTTTGTGAAGAGTTTGATTGAAGAATCCAGTCGTGTCTTAATGCCTCTTCTGGTGTCATTCTTTTTCTAGGATTCCATCTGAAATAAATAAACGAATTAGTTGGGTACCTATTTGGGATAGAGCATAACTTACTCCAAGCACTTAGAAATGAAGTTAAGAAACCGCGTATCGTTGCATCGTAGGGCTATGGCCAAATTTTTAGTACCAGGTTTCCTTTTTCTTCCTTTAGTGTTTGTAACGCACCGTGGATTACCTTTCGAATCTGTAATGATACCTAAGTTACTGGGCCATGGGGAACATTTCAAAGAACATACCAAAGAATAACCTTCTTCTGGTTGCGCCAATAATTAAGTCATCCGGCGGCGGGCCTAGTAGTTCCATTAAGCAGGCAAGCTGTTCCACTTCGTTTTCTCCAGGAAACAAAGGGTAACCCGTATACAGTTCCGCCAATATACATCCTAAAGACACAGATGTAAAATTGCGTTACAAGATATGGTGTTTTACAATACCTAAACTCCACATATCGATAGGGGTACCATAAGTCAAACCTAGGATCACTTCTGGTGATCTGTAAAATCTCGACTGAATGTAAGTGTAAACTCGTTGATTGGAGTAGCACGAGCTTCCGAAGTCTATTACTTTGATTGAACTACTTCCTCTCTGTTTTAAGAGTACGTTTTCCTAAAATCAAAATGCATTTTAATGGATGAAGAAAGAATCTGCTGCTTTTAATTAAGTGGCTAATAATGTTTCCAGCGTGAATACCTTTTGCGCTACGTGTTTACCATTTAACAACGATAGATAATATCTCAGCATAATCAGGAAGCAAAACTGGGGTTCTCATTTCCTTACTGAATAATTTTGAGCATGCAACATGCGACAGACCACGCGAAACCATAAAAAAACACGCAGTGTTTGTTTTATTCAAAGGTAAATATCCTGACAATTGCCCTGGCGTTATTAATTAATAATTTTACCTAAAATCGATCGGTTTTAGATAAACGTTAGCAATGTCAATTTCGACGATTTTTTCAATTTATGATAGGCAGGTAATAGGACTTTGTCATTTTATTAGTTCAATTGCTATTTTGGGACGTTTTATTTTTAGCAAAGGTATTTGACCTGCTCTTTAAAGTGGAAGTATTTAATATACGATAGACCAGTAAACCGATTTAGGTTTATCGCTCATTTAATTAGTTTCGCTGTTGACATCACTCCATAATGAAGTCACATAAAATAGCAGTTTTAGGGGATTTAGTCTTTGCACTTAATTGTGTGGCTGAAAACGATAATAGGCATTGGGCTTAAATTGGTTCTTATCTAAATTGTTAGTGTCATAAATGAGCTAATTTTTAACACGGTTAAGTGCTAATCGTATTATGCACAATATCTTGTTATTTTTCTCTCTTGCTTGATCCGTACCTAATTGTTCTGTAATCGGTTCGTTCGGCAAAATTTACACAGAAAATGTAGTCTGGCTTATCTCCAATGAGGGAGAGTACGCCCGATCACCAAACATATCCGTGCCCACAAACCAATCGCATTAGGTATACTTTTTATGTTCAATGTCATTTTCTTAGTGAAACCCCGGATTGTGCCTCTACACGCAATGGAAAAACCGACGGCATGTCTTGAGGTTTAAGATCTCAACGAAAACTATGTGTGTATGGAGAAATCTGTTGATCTGGCGCCTGGAGACCGGAAATTTCAATACAGAATCTCATTCGTTTTGCCTTTGCTTATACCGTCTCAAGGTAAAAGATGACACTGTTGGAAGGGAGTAAACCATTGAAATTGATGGTGCAGAGATTCCCATGGTATTTATCGAGCTTTGCCTTGGTTTCGGGGATAGATTTTTTACGTAAAAAATAACGTGTAATCAGCATACCAAATACGCCTCTGGGATTTAATAGGTGGGTATCAGTTCTACCAGCTTCAATTTCTGTGTTCCTCCCCAGTTTTAATAGATCACCCGGTACCTAATAAGTATAACAACAACTTCTAAGGACCAGACTTTCGTGTGACTATCTCCATGGAAACAAACGTATTCAGATAACACGTTATCTATCAAATAAGTTTAGATGGAACAGGAATAATCGTCCATGTAAAGTATTATCAAAGCTTACTCTACATTATATGGTAAATAGTAAATATCCCGTGTCTCTCTCAAAAGACATTTTTCTGCACGTAATTTCCGCTCGATTAAAATATAGGCTACGACCATTACACGCGCGTTGCCAGTCAAAGTAATGGGAAATTTCTTAATATAAATAAATGACATACCGATCCTCATAACGAAGGCAATTTCAAGTGCCCCAAAGAGTATGTGGCATAAATTACAGATGTCAGATAGGGAGTACAATAAAAATTGTGAATATGTCCATCAAGGTCCAAGGATCAACCCTCTTTTATGCAGTCGATTGTGATTTTGAAATCTATATTGTAATTATAGCAAAGTGCAAGTTATACGAAACTAAAATCCAATCTTCTCTGGGAGTTTGCATGCATGTCGCATCACAATCAAATAACATGCTACCCCGTTATTCTATCCGTTACTAGCATCACCCATACGTAAATAGTCGATTCACAACTCAACTCAAAGCATAAAAGTTTTATTTTCACCATCGAATTACTCTAGGAAAGCCTTTGTAGCGCAAAAAGCATCATTTACTTTAATTTCCATCTCTCACCTATCTATGAGTTAAAGGTAATTAACGCATCTGTCTGTGAATTAACGTTAATTAGCACAAGTATATCTCAACTATCAGAATTGATCTGAATGAAACATTTGTCTTTTTTTTGAAAATTAAAACCAAATGACAAGTCTGCCTGTCAATTAGAACTAAAAAGGAGATGTCTATCTGTAAGCTTTTGTAATTAATCAGCATTCTGTTCATCCCACTTACCAGAAGAATATTTCTATTATTGCTAATTATCAAATAAATATGCAATTTAGGGTAGCTGATAGACTGCTTAATTAGGGGTAGTCAATAAGTGCGAATTTACAGACAAACGTGACTTAATTGAACAGCTAAACGCCGAAATGTTGACGGAATTAAAAACTCATTTTCGACTCAACAATTGTGAAGTCTTATCCAAATTGACATACTTATTTTTAATTTTTTTGCCTTTATTTTTGAGTGGGCGGGGTTTCAGCCAAGGCTGCACATATAATAATAATAATAATATGTACCTACATATAATATGGTACACTTGTTGGTCAGAAGACCTTGTATAAACACTTTTTGATATTTTGCATACAATATTATAGGTACACGCTATAGAGTATGTAGTAGTACACAGGGTATCCCAGATTGAGTAGGATTACAACTTTCATGTTATTGCAATTGTTTAAATGTTTTGAGACCTGAACACCCAGTTACTCTAGCGAAACCTCGCCTCACTTCGTTCACATACGAAGACGGAAGCTGACGGCATTTCGATTCCGGAAAATTTCCATTAGCCATCTAGTGATGACACTTTGTGGAACTTCATTCGTTTTATATATTTCAAGGGAGGTTTACTCCTTGGTGAGTGGTGACACCACATTTAGTGAGGGGTGAGGTGTATACCTACGTACTCTCTTCATGACCGCCGCGTAGCTTACTACAGCGACGCACTCCGTCAGCGGCGTAATTTGTACTTTTGTGTCATTTATTTATTATATAAGACGATAAAGGGATATTTTAACCATTGGGTGATTCGCCATTCGTGAATTAACGTTCACCAGACGGCTAGTTTCCTTTTATCGTCGTGTATAATACAAAACTTAATTTTATAGCAGAAGCCATGTAAAGCTTTTGACAAATCTGAATTTTATTTATACGTCAAAAACAGCAAGCTTAGGTGCTGCCGTCGCGATCGTTGCCATAGAAACAGCATTGTCATTGTTCTGAACCTAATTTTATATCGTACTCCGCGTCCCATTTGAAATAGGAATGCCAGATGTCATTAGAATGTATAGTAATATGTTTCACTTTATCTACCCTTGCGTTTAGTGTGATCACTTTATCTACCCTCACGGTTAAAGAGCCACTAGCATTCAAATATATTAGAATGTCCATTTAGGATCTGCTATAAAATAAAATAAATTAAACATTGAAAATTATTGTGGCAGCTCTGAGGGCAGCTCTTCATATACAAATACCAATTTATTATCACGACTTTAGAATCGAAATTCAATTTTTTTTAACTATAATTTCGTAATTACCTAAGTAAGTATAGGTACAGTAAGGATTAATAATGAAAAAAAAATGATATATGAACCCCAGTTTTGACCAATAGATAACATCTCTCTGAAGCGTTACATGTGCATATAAAGCAAAGGGTTGTTCAATGTTCATTCTACAAGAGAGACTTCAAACGAGATCAGAATTATTGACGTCAAAAGAAAACGTAGTTAAATCAGAATTTTGTTTCGTATTGCTTTAATGGCGAATAAAAACAAAACGAAACCGCGTGGGATGAGTAGTAGTAAATACAGCGTACGTTTTACCTCCTTGTATCGTAAAACGGAAACATTGGGAAATACAATTACACAAATTCCGAATCGATTCGGAAATGCGTTGAACTAGAAGGGCAGAAAAAAAACACTTACCGGTTTCAGATCACAGTGAATAATACTTTCTTTTTGTAGCAGCCTTAAGCATTTCAGTAGCGAATTCGCAAAGCGTCTAATTAAATTTAAGCTGAACCCTTGGTAATTATTCTTCTTTATTAGTTCGTAAAGATTAAGACTGCAAAAGATACGATAAAGCTCATCTTATTCATAGGGACGTTCAACTTACCTCATAAGTTCGAAGCTAATGCAGAGGTGATTTCGGAAATAAAAATAGTCCAGCATATGTATAACGTTATGGCTGCCGTCTTTATCTTTTTTTCGGATATGATCCAAAATTCGGACTTCCACGAGAGCTTGATGATGAAACCGCTTCTTATTTCTTATAATTTTTATGGCGACGTGCTTGTTCGTCATGTGGTCTAGAGCTCGAATTACTTGGCCGAAACTTCCCTTACCGATCACTTCCAATATTTCGTAACGATAGCTTATGTGGTCGTGCAGAACCTGAAACAATGTAATTGTGAGAAGGGTTGGACGCTCAAATTTGCCAAAATTTGAATAGGGTTCCTTTTCTAAAAACGATAATCTGACAATACTCCTTAATTGCATTTAATTAGTAAGTTGTAATACAATTATTGACGCCTTTATATGGAGATTTTATATTATGGGATTACTAAGAGGCATAGTGTAATTCTATTCTTACACTATGCTAGGTAGAGGTTGTCGGTAAAGGTACAATTAATTTGATTTGACGACAGTACGCAGTTCATACGGTAAAATGTGAAACAAACCACCTGCAGAGTGATTACAAGGCAACGTTTATTACAACATCGGAATAAGTTCCGGTTCAATGTAAATTGCACGATTTCATGTCAAAAATGTAAATTTCTTGTCGTAGTTACAGATTTTACTTGTTGGTGTAGGTACCTACTACAGAAATTATTCCATTAAATGTAACTCAAGGTTGTCTCTGAGCCATGATAAATAGATTTATGCAAATTTCATAATGCGACTACAAGTGGGACACGTTTACCACAATTCAATGTACCACATTGTAAATGACATTATCAGAACGCCATTATTCAGTTAATTTATAAATGGCAAAAATTGCGAAATGGAGAAAATCGGGTATGAATCACGTACCTACGTATGAATTGCCTGCTACAAAAATATAATCCGGTTGTTGTGTGTATTCCCACAGCATTGGTGATTCAGAACTTTAACCAACAGTTATTGATTAAGAACTTTATAAAGTTATGGAACGGAAAAATGAAATATAGTCACATATGTTTTTGTAGAAGTAGATAAGATATGTAGTGGAAATTTAAAGACACTAATGTAAAAGTTACATCGAAATTCTCATATTATAATCTTCTTAACTTTCCCCTGACACCCGATTAGAAACTGGCGAGGAAAGATTTGTCAGGAGCATTTGGACGCTTTGGTAAAGCATGAGAGATATCTTTCGCGGATTGTCAACGTGGGTGTTTCACTGGGATCAATACAGTGCTATATTTAGAAGAAAACGTTGAAACGGTCAAACGTTGAAGATGTCAAGGCCCATTTTGTAAAACAATTCTGTCTGGAAATGTATGACGAAGCCCGTCTGGTATTGGGCAGACGGAACAGCGCTCGTGCAACCGCAATTGTGTGACATTTACCATCTGATATAGAAAATATACAAATAGATACAAGCGCATGTAGAAAAACCCCGGAACGTATTAAGGAAGCAAGACGAATTACGTACGTAGAGAAAAAGGAACGACTACACGGACCGCCAACAGAAGAAAGGTGGTTGTTACCGAGAGTCAGGGATGCGACAATCCCATTGGCTGCAGTGCAGTGCCAGACGCCTCTGGGTCGATGGGAACATAAACAGTACCGGTTGGCATTGAAAAAATCACGGGGGCTTGAGCATTTGGGCAAGTCACCTCTACCCCTAGCAGACGGCTGAGACTAGCCGGTTGAGCTCAAGATCTCCAAACCGCCAGGAGTCGGCTGATTGAGGTCTGGCGCACCGAACCCTCCGCCACTGCTAGGCGTCAAGGCGTATTACTAGTGGACCTTTTTATAGACCTAGTTATAAGTAGTTAAGTATGTTAGTCCTAGGGTGTTTCCGTAATAATAGTGAGCCCATATTAGATATAGAGATTTAGCAGTGTAAGCTGCAACGAAATAAGTGAATACATTTCCTTGTTCGTGTTGTGCATCGCCCCATCCTCACCTGGGCAGGGGGAATTAACGATCATTACCAGAGAACATCGCCATAGAGGGAAAACGAATCCCACAAACGCAATCGTGGATGAGAAATTCCACTAATTCAGCAACAACCAGAGCAGAAAATTAGCTACGTGACATTTCCCAAGCAATTTTTTCAACAAATTTTGAACTGAACTTCTGAATCTGAGGCAATCTGAGGAAGAAAGGAAATTGGATAGCCTTATTAATCAATTAAAACAATTCAAGGAGGATCTTTATCCTGAAGAACGAGAACGAGAAGGCGTAACGTTGGTATTGAATACCATCCACTTATCGTAAGAAGAATAGAAGGGGTATAGCAAAAAATTATAATTAATACAAAAGCGGAACAAACGGCGCGGGTCGGTTGAGGTCTTGAGGAAGAAACGACAAAGCATATTGAAGAGTTAATTAATGGAAGAAAGAATTTGAAAAACAAAAGGACGAAATAAAAAGGAGACACGAAGCAAAAAAACAAAACAAGTTATGGTAATGATCGGGAAGAAAAGTGGACCCATGAGCGAATTAAGAAGGACAGCGGAAGGTAGATTAAGAGACCAGGAAAAATTAAACAATTATCGAGGCGCAGAAGAAATTGAAAAGGGTAGTGAAGCAATTTTCGAAACAATTAACCAAGACTCAAGTGATAATCCTAAGGAAACTGTAGACAACATCGATTCAAGAATTACATATTAAATAACTTTCTTCAGACTGCATATCAGATGTTAATCGTTAAGAGATCATATTTACCTAGTTATGTTCAGTCAATAAAGGGATGAAGAAATGGGGTTAATAAATAAATTGATTGATGGCTGACTCCACCACTCCAGGAAAAGAGGAAAAAGACAAAATTAGATAAACCATTTCAGCCAAATTTGAAGAGATATCTACTTAGCGAAGGAGAGAATAATGAAATCGATTAGAGGGAAAGAGATCCTCACGTAATTATGTGTTATAAATCTCAATAGATGTTGAGTAAACAAATTTGGTTGGATTTTGTAGATATTTTTTTTTGTTTTTACGCGACACTGTAACGGGTCGCTTCACAGCGACCTCCGCGGGCAAATTTTTCACCTAGGCGTCATTTTAAATTAGGGCAAAGTCCCTCAAAAAAGAAATGCGTTCACATTTCTAGTTTATTTTCTGTGATGTTCAACTGCACCTTGAACATTTACTACCTTCTAACAGGGCGAGGTGGGATTCACCTTATGTATAGTATTAATTAATTCTTTTGATACTAAAATACCAAGCAAATAAGGGCGAAAAATATAAAGAATCATGTGCAACTAACGCCATAACAACTACGATTTATCAAACTTGACTGGCTGGTCATTTCATTTGAAACACAAAAGCTCGCGTACTTCCTGTTGTGTGAGCGACTTGACCTAAATCGAGCGTCTAGTTTTTTTTTCAAAATTAAGGACGAAATGAATAATAGATCGAAGACTAACCTTATTATAACTCCCACTGTCGTCGTCGAAGCCCCCATTTTGTGATCCACCATGTTCGCCGTGGATTTTGCACGCATCCAATCCAAGATACCATATTTTCGAGTATTTCTCAATTTCATTCCTTTCGTATTCCGTTAGACGACTTCCATATAATCGTACTGCCTCTGTAATAACGGGAAAAAACGCGAATGAGTATCGTGCATGGATTTGCATATGAGTACAAACCTGAAGGCGTCAGTGGAAGATGAGAGTTTTCATTGTCTTCTTTGTGGTGATTATTGTTTGAAGCGTGGTGGCTGTAACTTCGTGAGTTATTGTTAATTGCAGGAAATCCTTCGTCTAACGGCGTGACCGGTGTCGATGGAGTTTTGCCTTGAATTTGCAAATTAAGTCTCGAAGACGATTTACTGTTTTCTAATGTCGGCAACTGAAACAAAAATTAGCACTTTAGCAATTAACTCTGGCAACATAATGTTAAATTAATTCAAAGGCATTCGCGTAGGTATCTTAATTTTGTGCAAATGGGAAAACGCTCATTTATCTTTGACTGGGGAGGACAGAAACCGTTCTTTCGTTTATGTCTTTTCGAGGAAACGATCAATAGGTACCCCCAATACTACTTTTATAGAAAACAAACCTGGTTAAATAAAGGGCATTCACGCCCAAAATGTGTTCAGTGCAAGTGGCTAAAAGGTGTTTCCTTTTCGAAATATAATAAGATTTTCACAACCACCCCATTTCACTTCCCTTGTCCCCACCGCTACCTAGTACCAAGCTATCTCATGGCCCTTTTTACATCACCATCTATTCAATATATCGATTCGTATAACTGCATAAAATATCACGGCAAAAACTAAACGCAGCTAAGAACCAGAACGGAAATTTCATAGACTACCTATTCTTTTAAATTTTAATAAGAAGCTTATACTTATTGTCCTTTTTTCACCCAACTACCTAGCTGCGCAGTTCTTTAAATTAAGTTACGTATCAGAGTATGTTTCATTGAAAGTCGATGAATCACTTTTCAACGAGAAAATAAAAATGGTCACCGTTTCTTGTAAGTCGTTTACCTATCAGGCAACACAATAGAGGAAATTAAAACACTGAAATCACGAAATGATTGCATCGTAGATAAAGGATATGAAACTTCGTCAGATTTCGCCCTATGTGTCACTATTTTAATTTCTATTTTTAAACATTCTTGAGCAATTTCGAAGTTGTATCGATGCAAACTATGCCATAAACCCCCGTAAGTACACGTAACTAGTAGGCTGAGCGCCCATTTTCCACCCGTTAACCTATTTGACTGATGACTAACGAATTCAGAGCTCTAGTTATTCTTATAGTTATCTGTTACCGAAAACAGAATTCAAAATTTCGTTCTAGAGCTATTGGATCGATGGACGGGCAGACACACCGAAACCAATAGTGGATATATGCAACTGTATCCGTAAAATTTCCTTGTTTCGATGTTCCAATGTAACAAAATTCGTTTCCATTGCACCCCTGCCGTTTTCAGAAAATCAGGTTCCAAAAACACACGACCAACTTCATGCGAGGACCGAAATGATGACGCAAAAATCCCCCAAACTGTTAATGTACCTTCTTCAGAATTCACGTCGATGTACCAAAATTTTTTCGAAACATCCGGTTTCAAAAAATCAGCGCAGGCGCAGGCAGCCGAAAGTGCTGCGGATATTTATTTATTTATTTATTTGTTTATTTATTTATTTATTTATTATCCCTCTCTTGTTCTGGGCGCTCAACAAGCTTGCGCCTAATTACAGAGGGACCCGCATAATGCTTTATAGGGGTGCCTCTGCAGGAGGTCTTAAGTTGTTCTCTACAGGGTGTTTCGAAATTCGCGCACACGGACTATGGGATGGTGTTATAGGTACGACAAAAACTGAACAAGAAGTTCCTCTACCAGTTTTCCATCAGACCGCTATTTTTCGAGCTACCGCGGTTTTAAAAATCTCCGCCCCCCCCCTACGCTGCGCCACTGGTTAAACTTAATAATAACACACTTTTTAAAACAATAGAAGGTTCAAAATAATCTATAATTATGACAAGTACGTAATTACAACACTTGTTCAAAAAGTCCTCCGCCTGCTAGTGAACCAGCTTCAGCAGGTCGAAAAAAAAAGTGCCGGTCTGATCAAAAACTGGTAGAGGAGCACCATCCCACAGTCCGTGTGCGCGAATTTCGAAACACCCTGTATACTACTCCGGTATTTACCTTACGAAAACTGCAGGAAAACCTAATTCGGAGTAGCCGGCAGGCGGCCGAATGCTCGAAACTGGTCTAATGTAATTCCCATCTCTGCCACAGATGAAAAATTGACCTCAACCCAGGTTCGAACACCCGACCTCCGGATTTATAGTCCAACGCTCTATCACTGACCCATAAAGCCGTTATGTTACAGTTTTTCGCACTCGACTCTGCATTTTGTCTGCAGCAAGTATCAAAGATTTCGAGATGGAGGACCGCAAGTAATTCTCTCAAAGGAAATCCGTAGAAATACGCTCGCTATAATATATTGTGTCGTGTGTGATATTTTGCTACCTTGTTGCAAGCCAAACACTTTAGGCATTTGAAGCTCGCTTTATTGAGCAAAGAAATAAATGTTCCGGGTGGAACCTCTGCACCCCCACAAACCGATTGCTAAATTTAGTTATATATTGAAAGTATCTTGCCTTTCGCCTAATATGAAGGAAATAATGAACATGAGAAGTTCGTATACATCGTGTGCCAACAACCTTTAGATTCGTAAATTAACCAATATTCTGCTCCAGATAAAGATACAAAATACCATTCGGTTTTAATGTGTAAAGTGCGGTAAACGTATTTTGTCTGGCATGTTACAACAAAATCATATATGGCCATGTTCAATACCATGTTATCATATGTATATGTACGCATGTTTATTACCTTCCAATCCTTATACTATCCTAGAATTCTATGCGAAACCACAATAATGGATCGATGGTTAAAACGTAACGAAGCAGCTATTTTCCGTCTTGAAGTTTCATACCCGAAGTTATGACCACACTGTATATTTGTGGAGTCGACCCGGTATCTAGAAGCGTTTTAAGTTGGGCGCTTCGTTACGAAAGTTTTTGTGTTCTAGGAGTTGAAGATAGAAGCTCAAGGTAATTGATTTAATTTCTAGAGTGGAGGTTCAGCCGCCGCTACCGTAAATAATGCTGCATTTAATCCGCCGTTTGCAATTATTTCAATTGTCTTTGTAGAGTCCGAAAGCTCGTCATTCAGAGGACGAGGACAAATTAATATTTTGGAATTTCAGTCCCGTTAAGGCATTATTAGCAGGTTTTTGTTTCCTATGTTAATTTAAAACGAGCATTCGAACTGCTAGGCCGTACAGGTTTACGTCGTTGGCAGGTTGATAGGTGTTAGTTAGACTACTGATTTTAGAACTTTCAATCCGGGCAAATTAAGTAACTGTGAATACCGATAGATGTGTTGCACTAAAAGTCATTCCACACAGTCGTGCGGGATATCAAAAGAAACACTCTTAATCGATTTGAAGTTTAAGACTAATTACAGATTTTTATGACGTCAGCAGGCTGCACAATTAATAAAAGAAGTTTTAACTTTGAATACGCCGGCCGGCTTGGAATTTCCCCGTTCTGTTCCCTCTCCGTGTGTAAGGAAGTTGACGCTTAATTTAGGGGTGTAAGCTTTTTGTTATTTTCCGTTTCTTTAATTATAAGAGGGGGGGGGGGGCTGTTGTTTAGCTTTCCTGTAGATACCATTACCGAATCCGATTATTTACTATTCCCGCTTAGGAAAATTGCTGTGCGCTTTAATTTTGTTTCCAACACCGATCCTCCAAACCGCTGCTAGGGGCGAGACCGTACCCTTGATGGCGCTCGAGTCCGTTCGTCCGTCCGTTGCGCCGACAGAACACCCAGGCTTCCGGCGATTCCGCTACTTTCGTCCGTAAAAAATCGGAAAAAGGAATGAATTTTACCTTTCGAAACTTGGTTGGAAACGAATGGTAAAAATGAGGAATATCTGTAGGTACGCTGAGATATAGGGAAACGTCCAAACGGGTTACAATGTATTTTTTACTAACGTAACATGGCGTAGCGCAAACCAATCAAAAACAAATGGGTTGGGTAGAACTTATGACTCCAGAAAACCGGGCTAACTTTGATCAAAATCGAGGATCTATTCAAGAAATAAATGGGTATAGACCAAGGAACAAACGTCCTCTTGTAGCTCGTACATATTTCGTTTTAAAAACCTACTGGCTTCTAATAGACCTGACATTATAATTGTTAATAATTAATATGCATGCACTTATTAGTTATTACCTACGAATTATAAGAGGCCGAATGGCCATTTGATTGTGTGCATTACAAAGTATGATGGTTTGGTTCCAGGAAAATCTTACATTCTAAAATTAAAGCGTACTCTGAATTATAATCTGAGGGCAATAAAAATATCACACACAAAAATTATGACTCCTTCCTAAGAAAAACTATAAGTAGTTCAAATTAATCAAAAATATTTTGGGATATCTTTGGTGCCAATTTTGACTCTGCGATATCTGCGTTCAATTGACGTAGTAAATCGATAGTTATTCTCGTGGGAAGTAATTTCAAACATGATTCTCAGTTATAACGTCATCCACCACGTAATATGACACCATGAAAACGGAGGCCATTACAAAGAGAGTGGATAGTAAACAGTAAACAACTGCTGCGGCTAGGATAAAAATGAATTTCAAAATATGTAGAAGAAGAAACCTAATATTAATTACACATTAACACGGTAGGCACTTATTCTGTAACATGATCAGAACTCTCTAATGCAATCACGAATGATTTTCCAGGCACATCCCGATTTAGTTATTTACAAATTGCAATCAAATATTAGCAATAAACTTCATGCCCTCTTCTACTTCCAGATTGCATAGCATGTAAGTTAATGAACCGCAATAATCGAAAGTCGAGGTAATTGCGAGCTTCACAGCATACACCATTATGAGCAAGAGTAGGTAACATTAATGGAATAAATTGATTTAATACTTCGTTACGGTACACTTACGCTAATTAGCCGTTTGAATACAAAGTTTTTAAAGCATTTGAACCATTGGTGTACCAGGTGAAATGACCGAAAGCATAGGTACCTACCCATGGAACGTGTAAAAGATTAACTTTTGGCTTTTACACCCACAATAAATGTCGCCAAAAATTTAAATTAGGAAGGCGAACTTAACAGTACCTTAGGATAATGATCGTTTATAATTAATCACACGGAAATGTTCCATAAATATTAATAGCAGACTTAATATGTGTGTTATCTTTATTTATAGTAAGCGGTGGGCGCTATAATTAAATCGATAAAAAATGCAGAAGGTTAACTGCATAGGTTTCTAATTGTAGGAGTAATAAGAA